GAGAGAGAGAGAGAGAGAGAGAGAGAGAGAGAGAGAGAGAGAGAGAGAGAGAGACTTTCTTGATGCTTTGCAGCTTCCAAACCCAAAAAGGTTTTATCGAGAGAAGAAAAAAAATGTGAGCCAAAACAGTTGAACCCTTATGGTACCTGCAGTCCAGACAATGGCAAAATGCTTCCCTCCAGAAGTTAGGGGTGCTCTATCCCTGGAGGTTTTTAAGAAGAAATCGGGCAGCCATTTGTCTGAAATGGTAGAGGGTCCCTGGCTTGAGCCCATGGCTGGGCTAGAAGACCTCTAAGGTCCCTTCCAACTCTGTTCTTCTGTCTGCTTTACGAGGTGAAATGAAAGGAGACTCTTAAGATGAGCATCGTCCCGCAAGCCCCCCCAGTTCCCAGGGCTGCCCCCTGTGGCTTTTCTCTCAGGTTTGGTTTAGGATTGCGGGACAAGAGAGGATGCATTTTTCTCCTTTGCTACTCGTAGCTTAATCCTTGCTGTTTGCCAAGGTATTTCTTGTTTAACCACCAGATTAAGTGTACCCTTTCCAAGGTAAGCAAACTGGCAAGAATGCGGCTAACCTCCATTTACACATTGCTCACAGGCCGGGAAAACGTTGCTTCGAAACAAGAGGAATTGAGAAACACGGAACCTGCCGGTGTGGCCACTTTCAGGTCTGTTCAAGGCTCTTCTTTGGCAGTGAGGGATTCTGCCAGGGCTGCTGTTCTGTTTCCAATCCTTCTGCTTCTTTCCTAACTGACCTAAGTGAGATGGAGGGCAGATTCACTGAGGGGCATTAGGAGCTTTGACGGCGCACCATTTGCACACATTTAATTTGGTGTAAGAGCATAGTTTTTAATGCCCTGGATGAGAAAACCACTCCTGTGAGGCTTGGGTATCTCCCACAAAACCATCAGCATCCAATGGTGAACCTCTAAACCAGAGGTCTCCACACTTGGCAACTTTAAGGCTTGTGGACTTCAACTCCCAGAATTCTCCAGCCAGCTGGCTGTCGAATTCTGGGAATTGAAGTCCACAAGCCTTAAAGCTGCCAAGTTTGAGGACCCCCGGTTTAACTCCTCGATGCATCTATTGAAGAGAGCAGCAGCTCACTGAAGCTTCTGCCTTTTTAAACGACATTTGTGAATTGGAATTCTGGGAGTTGAAGTCCACAAGTCTTAAAGTTGCCAAGTTTGGGGACCCCTGCTCTAAACAGCTGACTTGATGGGGTGGCTGTCTTCTCAGCTGGTCTCTGTTAGGAATTGCTTTAATGTTCTGTTGGAATCATTTTGCACAGGGGTGTCCAACCTCGGCCACTTGAGGACTTGAGGACTTCATGGCTAGCTGGAGAATTCTGGGAGCGGAAGCCAACAAATTTTAAAATGGCCAAGGTTGGACACTCATGGATTAGAGGGAGCTGCCCACCTAAGAACAAAATCTGCACACATTGGTCCTCCTAGCAACCCATCCTCCCTCTTGTACAACCCAGAGTTGCCCTCCGTTCAAGCATGTGTGTCCCAGAATCCCTTCCAAATGACTCAAAGATTTCTGGGCACAAGTTTTGGGTTGTGAGAAATTCATTCTCCATTCAAACCAGTTTGGACCATAGCCTTGGGTAGCCCTTATGCTACATTCCCACTTTCTGGCGTTCATTGATCAACCAGTCCATGGCAAAACGGTGCCCTTTGCTTCATTTCATATTATGGGCTCAGAATCTGGTGTAGCTGCGGTTGGAAGTCCTCCTCCTTTCTTGTCCTCCTCCTTTCTTCTCCTTGACTCCTGAAGGGCTCCGTGCCTCTTCTGGTCTCCAAGTTGGCAAAGAGATGAGTCACCCTGGTAGGAATGCCAGGCCTACGTTCTTGGGGAGTTCCCAGCTCCATGTGTCGGGATGCCGAGCGATCTGAAGTTCTTGCGTGTTAGGAACTGAACTGGCCGGGCAGCTCCAGAACAAAGAGCAGCCCAGCCCCTCCTTCTTCAGCGTCTCCTGCCAAGTCACCTGCTGCAGGACTACAAAAACCTCGCACAGCTACTGCTGCAGGGCATGTGCAGTTGGCCTTCCCGCTGCGGCATCTCCGAAGAGAAGCTGCCTCTCCACCGGAGCACCTGTTGGGACTTAAGCATCATCCCTGGATAAGGAACAGGATCGCCAAGTTACATATTACTCAGCAGGAAAGGGGGGAAAATTTATCATTAACTGGGCTACTCAGCCAGGAGGTATAAGAAGAAACGGATCAGCCCAGATCGGGAGGCCCTGAAACTGACAGGATGGCCACCCCAGCGGCTACCACGGTGCTGGCCCAACAGGAGTCGACCTCGCCTCACATCGCAATCGCAAATGCAGCTGACATCTCGGTCATTGTCATCTACTTCCTCGTTGTCCTAGTGGTTGGCCTGTGGGTGAGTGCCAGCTTTCTTTGTCCTTGTTGGTGGGGTGCAAATAAGAAAGTGGAAGGAGCTTTCCTGGAAGATTTGCGTCCAGGGACCAAATCCAGGAATTGGGCCTGGCTAAGTCTCGGGAAGAGAAGGACCAGGGGAGACACAAGAGCAGCCTTCCAATACTTGAGGGGCTGCCACAGAGAGGAGGAGGAAGGGGCCAAGCTATTCTCTCCTGAAGGCCAGACAAGGAATAATGGGTGGAAACTGATCCAGGAGAGATTCAACCTGGAAAGAAGGAGGAATTTTCTGACAGGGAGAACAATCAGCCGATGGAACAGAAGTTGCCTTCGGAAGTTGTGGGAGCTTCATCCCTGGGGGCTTTCAAGAAGAGACTGGACTGCCATTTGTCATGGATGGAGTAGGGTCTCCTGCTTGGGTGGGGGGTTGGACTAGATGATCTACAAGGTCCCTTCCAACTCTTGTTAATCTGTAATCTGTAACCCCAGGGAGATCTGGGAAGGACCAAGGGTCCGGCATATCAGGATGGCTGAGCAAGAGATGGGGAGGTGCAGCAGCAATGGAAGGGCCAGAGGGAGGGAGGGGATGGGTGTTGCTGGGCAGCTGAACTGGCAAGGGGTGGGTGTTGGGGTCACGGAAGAGAGGAAGCTGACGTAGAAATGGAAATAGCTTCCCAATGCCCTGCTCCGGAGGGGTGTGTGTGTGTTGGGATAGTTCCCATCTTTTCCACTGCTTCCTCCCCCTTTGGATAGGAAATTCCCACCTGGGTGGGAAGTTCCAAAGGCCATCAGGCACTTTCCCATCTGAGAAGGAATGTGATGGGCTGTGAGAACAACCTTGGCAGGCAGGCAGGAGGAGGAGCTGCGGGCAAGCAAACGGAATCTGAGCACAAACCAGAAACGGAAATTGGAGAACATGTCTCAGGAGGGGCAGCCGTCATTAGGCGATGCGGTTATAAGGTGTGACATCGCATGGCCACACCACTGAGTGGTGGCACTTCTAGTGAATCCATGCCATTGTCAAGCATGGGATTTGTACTCCTTTGCCATGGACGACACCCTCTGGCTTCCAGGCCTCACTGTTAGTCTCACTTGTGGGAAACCGGCAGAGAGAATCACAAATGACTGTCACATGAGTGTGGCGATGCTGCGACGGTTGTAAGAAGACCAGGTGTAAGGGCCGTTCATTCAGCATCATCGTAAGTTTGGACAGGCGCTGAATGAGTGGTCATTAAGCAAAGTCTGCATGTAAAGTTTGCAGACTTTCACGCTTCTGTTACTGTAAGTTTACCCTAAAGGTAGTGTTTGCATTGTTGGTTGTGAGGTCCTGTCCGGACCACCTGGAAGGGTTGACAAGAAGCCCCCTTGGCAAGCAGTGTGTGCCAGCTGGGCCAACTGCCTTAGAGTGGAGAGGAGGTCCAAGGAGCCACACATTGTCCCAGAAAATGGACCCAGGTGGCCAGGGTCTGGGTTGCTTGCAGCCCCTCTAGCCCTGAGCAATGAAGAATTGCAGGAAGTGAAGACAAGGGGGCTTTCAACCCTTCAGCAGAGGGGCACCGACATTCTGCACATGCCTAGTGGAGCTCTCCTCTGTCTGCTCAGGTTCCCATGGGGGTTCTTGGTTTAAAGAAGGCTGAGAATTCCATTCTGTTCCATCTTGTCCCAAGGCAAACCTCAGCCACGTAGCCCTTTGCCAAAGTCCAGCTGCCAAACTCCGGGGAGTGGGAGTCCCCACATCTTAAAGTTGCCAAGGTGGGGAGATGCTCGTGTGGGCAATGCCTCCTGTGCTCTCCAGGCCCCCCACCCAGGCAGGTTGCCAGGGCCTACGGGCAGCCTTGGGCAGCACAGCAAAGTCTCGCGCTGGGGAGGCCTTCTGGCCCTCGAAGGCTCCATTGCTTCTTGGTCTCCTCCGGGCTGTCCGCTTGTGTGGAAGCCCAGCTCACCGCAGAGAAGGCCAGGGAGAGGCCAAAGGGGCAGCCTGGCCCTTGCTTGGATGGCTGGGGCAGCGAAGGAGGCCTTGAAGCAGGCAAGGAGGAAGCGCGAGTGCTTTTGCCATGGGAAGAGCCAATCTCCCAGCCAGGAAAGCAACCCCAGAGGCCCCTGAGGGAAGAAGGGATCAAGGCCTTTCCAAAGCACCAGAGCAGGCACCTGGTTCTGGCCAAACAAGCCCGTGGACCTGGCAGGGGGGGCCGGGCAGCCTCTTGCACTGACGGTCACTGAAGGTGAGGACCCAATTCCTTTCCTTCTTCTTGGGCCTCTCTCAGACACCGGGAGGGCTGGGTGCAGCCTTGCTCCCTTCAAACAAACCAGGAACTCTCTGGTTCTGAACCAGGAAGCTAAACCTCCCCCTGCCCAAGGCTCAGTGTCCCTGAGTTTTGTGAGTGCAGACCCCTGCCAACCTCCAAGAAACTGCAGGCCTGCCTTCTATCGGGGGCAGCAGAGGCTAAACTGGGCCGCTCCTGCACTTGAAAACCAGCGAAAACTAACTTTAACTAACTAAAGGGATCAAATGCACCCCTTGCCTCACGACTCAAGTTGCAAAGAAGGAGAGATCTCCAGCCCTGTCTCAAGGAAAGGCCTGGGCATCACGTGCCCAAGAGCTTGCCAAGGGGACGGAACTACGCATCCCGGCCAACTGTTCCTTGGCACCCTCCCAGATACACTCTGGAGTGGGGCAAGCAAGCAAGGCTTCCTGGGGGACTGATCTTCTCTCCCCTTCCCTGTGGGGTCAGCCAGCCAGGGTGGCTCATCCCTGCAATAGAGGGGCAGGGCCAGAGCAAAGGAGGGTGCCGAGACAGGGGAGGTGCTGGTCTGATCTCAGAGGCGTCATCCCTGCCCCTCAAGGAGAAGCTCCTGGGCCATCCTGAGGGAGGGAGGGCCGAGTTGGGTGTGCAGATGGGGGTCACACTTTCTCTGTCCTTTAGGCTCTGTCCTTGCAGGGGACTCTCTGTACTGGCGGGAGCAGCTGAATCTTGGTCTAAGCCAGGGGTCCTCAGCCGTGGCAACTTTCAGGTGGGCAGACTTCATGCCTGGCTGGAGAATTCGGGGAGCTGATGTCCACCCTTTGGAAAGTTGCCAAGGCTGAGAAACCCCGGCCTGAGCTGCGCTTCCACACTGGAGATGCACTCAAGACAAACCATCATCTGAATGAAACCCTCTTTGGCAAGTTGGCCGCAGAGCAAAACCGGGTTGTTGTTTTTTTGGTGGTCACTCCTGTCTCTTTTCAGGTGGTAAAAAAAAATCTCACTTTTGGGGGGGAGATTCAAAACTCGGCCCTTGGTGAAGATCAATGCAGGCCTTCAGAAAGGGGGAGGGACATCTCTGC